TCTTCAAAGATGACTGCTGTCAGGAAGCAACCTTCACTGTCTTTAATTATGGTTTTGCTGAAGTCTGTGGGACTGATTGTTAGTAAATTTAAAGTAAGGCAATGGAAATAAATTCAGCCACTCTGAAATAATTCCACTGATTTCCCCCCTGCCCTTTCTTTTTTTTTCCTCTTTTGAACTAATGGTTTTTTACAATATATGCCAGAATAGCTGACCACAGAATCCATAGTATTCTGGTAGTATGAAGCCAGAAATAAAAATCTGCAGTCAATGAAAACTATGAAATTTTTTTGAGCGATAACCTGCTTAATTTACCATTCTTTCCCACCTCTACTGAAAAGGTGCTTTCTTACAGAAAACTAACTCGTTCATGAGGAAACTGCTTGTACTATGATCAGTAACTACAAATACAAAGAGATTAAATCCCCCCCCAAAAAAAACCCCTGACATAAGATCAATTATTAAATGATACAAGAGCAATTTCAGCAAGACAAAACAGAATTTGTGTTGTTGAAATACTGTTTAATTACTGTGTTTTACTTGGTCAACAACCATTGCATACAGTAGCTCACAATTTTCACTCTTCCTTGTGAAATATAAAGGGGCAATTTTGGCTTCTGTTAGCATTCCCATATGTTTGAGCGGGGATGTGTGCATCAAGTTTCCAAATGACATTTATATGATAGTACAGGTTAGAGGGATTGAACTTTCATGTCGGGAAAAGGATGTGATCTATTGTATCAGAATGCCAGTATTGCAGCTTGCAATTTTGAGCTTAATTTTGATTTCTTTTCTCCCCTTTCTTGTATGGAATCCTTGTGTGACTTGGGTGTAGTGGTGGTGCTGTCCTATTTCCTGCAGAAGGGCATTACCCTTCATTACTCTTTACTTCTACTGCTGATGTGTGATACCTGGTGTCACACGGATGTTTCCTATGAATAGGTGGGTTTGTAGTGACAGTTGGTTTGGAAAATATTCTTACTGCTTGCTCTGTTCAGATGTTACAAGACAATAATAGCTGGCACTGTAAAACCTCTCATGTTTTGATATCTTGTTTTATTTTAAAGGTAAAACCATTTTAAAGAAGTCTATGCTGTCAGGAGCAAATTTCACTTTTATTATTAATTATAGTTTTGCTGAAGTCTGTGGGCCTTCCCACTACATAAAAAAAGCAAATAAAATAAGTTCTTGCTTTTATAAAGGACTTTGAAAATGCTGGCCATCAGATCACAGGATGAGCCAGGAATTCCTGTGAAGCCTGGAACTTTTTCCTAAAGTGTGTGGGAAGCAATCCTGCACCTCACGTGTTTGCTTGGATCTCAATGAGCCTGTCGAGTCTGCGTGGTTAAATGTGATTTGCTTTGAATCCTTAGTGTTTCCCCTGTGCTCACAACCTGTTGGAATACCCATACCAGGTGATACCTTTTGCTCATGCCTCAGAAAATTGTAGAACTGGTAAATATGATTGGAACACATACTACTTTCCCAAAACCAAAGGGTTTAGTTCAGGTAGTGCCAGCTGAAATACATGATTACATGTACAAACTCACCCAGGTCACTGGGATCATTATGTTAAGATCCATGGCCTGAAGCTGGTGTTTGTTGTTGTGTGCACGGGAACATCTTCCAAAGTGGGGTCTCCTCCATGGCAGGGCTTACTGGCCGCTACTGGGGTGCCCGGGTTTCTCCTAGCGATGCTCAGCAGAAGGGTTTACTTTCTTTGCTGCTTGTTTATTGCTAGAAACTGATAATCTTTTTCTTGATAGGGTACTAATGGTTCTCGTAGACCATGGGATATCTCACTCCTCCATCCCTAATGCATGTCTCTCCTGTTTTTACGTGTTCTAGAAAATACTGTCTTTCAGAAGCTCCTTTTCAGTGCTGAAAAAGTGTAACTTTTATTTTCCCAGTTTTTGATAGATAAAATCACAGAGTGGAAAATGTGTGGGATGTTTTCCTCTTCTTTTCTGAAAGATGGTTTTCTCCTGGATCCCTCCATAGGTACTTTGTTACAATTAAGTGTAATATGTTGAAGGGAATCAATTCAAATGCATTTTAGACTATTTTTGTCCCAAATAGCGAGCTCCTAAAGTACATATTTATGTATGTGCATGTGTATATGCATCTATTTGGCAACAAAGCAGTCCGTATTCGTTGGGTGAGGCTTTTCAGAGAGAATTGGAACTCCTATTTGTGATCAGTGCAGTGAAGGAACTTCACTCCATCAGTGCTTGCTCTGATTGTTAGTGCTGAAAAATAGTTCGAATACTACCAGTGCTGCTCTGTGGATTAATGGACGGATGGATGTTTTAGTGTTAGGTTTCCATTCTTAGATGTGGATGTTGTCACCTAGTCTTCAGGACGGCGTAATTCAGTTCTGTGTACTTGTATGAATGAGGGCGAGCGGGTTGTACTTAATTTTTAAGCATTAAACTTCGTTTTGGTACGAAAAAAAATGACTCAAGTGTTAAAAGCTTTGCTGAAGAGCTGAAGGTCTTGCTTGGTTTCCCACTGCTTTTGATCCTGGCAACTTGTAGAAATTAGGCAACTCTGTGGAATTTAAGGACTTTGGTTTTTAATAACTGAAAGGGAAGGAAAAAAACACCTTTAAGAATGCTGTACTTTAAAAGCTAACTGCTTAGAAATGGGGAGGAGAACAAACCATAATTAAAAGCTGTGTGTCTACATTAATGGTTTAAATCCTGGACCAATTACAATAATCACTCTGTCTGTATTATGGAAGTCCCCAGCATCTTTGGATAGTGGGAGGTGGGTCATGTTGTGTTGGATCATGGTTATTCAGTACCAAAGAACTCTCTAGTTAGTGGTGTCCTATATAAAATTCACCTTGCCTCTTAGGAAGGAATACATACTGATGACAAACAGCCAGCTGGACAAATTTAGAAGGTTGTTGTTTTTTTTAAAAAGTGCAAAAAGTCCTTGTTTCATATAGACCTAGAAAACTGTGTTGTCTGTAGTTGCTGGCGGGGTGTTCTAGCTTTATACCATTTGTTCTTAATTACTCTGTGTGTTTTTAGCACTGAAATGAGACCACCTTTGAGACTATGTCTAATGTTTTTATATGAAAGTGTAAGTTTATTTTTTCTGAAACTTAGGTTGCAAAGCAGTTTATAAGGGAGGAAAGAATGCTGATATTTGATATCAAAAAGGACAATCTGGATAATCTAAAATTGTCTTAGGATATTCAGCTGTAGGTGAAGAGCTGTCTCTGCTGTCAGCTCACTACACAGTAAATCAGTGTGATCCACAAGAACATTTACAGGCATCTTAAAATTTAATTTGTTTGATGTCTCTATCTTGAAGCATTTCCTATTGAAAAGTTTTGAAATAATTATTTGGGCTGCTGTTTCTACCAATATCCTTACTACTTCTAGTCCTCAGCAGTTTGGGCAAACTCAAGAGCTTCCAAGAACATGACTCCACATGGTTTTTCAGCAGTGGCCCTGGTTTAGGGGGTTCCCACACAGCACCACAGTTAATATCAAGTTGATGCAACAGCTCTTAGGACTGTACTGTAAACTGGATTACCATCTGAATTTAAAAACAGAAAGAAGGAGGACTGTTTTCCCCTACCACTGCATTTTAAAAAGTCACTGGCAGAGCTGTAGGTAGTTGCTGAGATGGAGTTGAGCCGGTGGGACAGAGAAAGCGCATGTGGTATCGTGTCCTTTTTGTCTTCGGTCTCTGATGTTTTTACATAAATCAGGTTGCTGCTTGGAAAATTTAATGCTTAGGAAGCAACAGTGACTTTGGCAATCTAATTATGGCAGTACTAAGTATTGCAATATAGTTATATGAGAAGAGTTTGCTACTTTTCTATTTATTCTGCGGATGGTGATTTTCATACCTTCAACTACAAGGATGTATCTACATGAGCTCTGAAATTGTTCAGCCTATATTACATACTACTTTATGTCTGCAAGCATTGAACTGGGTTTAGTTTTGACTGACTTTTAATTTGGGGAACTTCAGTAGGACTGCCATTCCTGTAGGTCAGACTGTATTTTAATTGAGTATGTATAGAGGCTGTACGATCTTCTCTGATATCCTGAGCTGTAGGGCCTGTAGCAATAGGACAAGGGGTAATGGTTTTAACATTTATAACAGGGTAGATTCAGACTAGGTAAAAGGAAGAGATTTTTCACGCTGAGGGTGATGAAACACTAGGACAAGTTGCCCTTTAGATTTTAGTGTTGGGACACCTTCATATTGCTTAATGTAGCATTGGACACTGTATCTGATTATTATTTGTCTTTTTTTCCATCTATTAAGGAAAAATATACTTCCCATGTATTCTTCTGTTTTGTTTTTGAGGATCAGCTACTCTGTACTGTAGGTTTGTAGTGATAGCAGTATATAAATATCTTTTTAAGTGCTTGACGCAGCTGGTGTTTATGTTCAGTGGTTGTTTGCAGGTTCTGCTTTAGTCCTTTGTTGTTCTTTTCAGCTGATGGTTTTCATTGAGGCATACCAATAGGCAATTAATGAAATTATGAAAAATTTGGTGTATCTGATGTGATTGTTGCATTAATATAATAACATTAGTTAAAGGAAAGTGATGCTTGGCTTGAGGTTAAATGTCAAGTTGAGGATTCCTTGATTTGTGCTTTTTTAAAAAGGTGTTATTTCATATGATAGTTCTTGTAAACAATCAAGTTTTTTCTGTAGGCTGCCATTCTATGTGTATTTTCAGTGGCATCAAGCTAAGCATGGCAGCATTGACACCAAAAGGTAGTAGTAAAACAACTGATGTAGTGACATCATTTCACTTTGACAAACAATTCACGTCTGAATATTAGTTTGCTGGTTTATAGTCACTGTACTTCAAATGCATGTTGTCCTGCCTGATACTAGGGTGACTGAGCACTGGAATGGCTTGTCCAGAGAAGTTGTGGAGTCTTTGTCCTTGGAGATATTCAAAAGCCAGCTAGATGTGGTCCAGGGCAACTGGCTCTAGGTGGCCCTGCTTGAGCAGAGAGATGGGACGAGATGACCTCAGGCGGTCCCTTCTTGCCTCAACCACTCTGTGCTTTTGTGGTATCGATGTAAACCAGCTAATGGATTGGTAAAATTAAGTGCTGCTTAGAAATATTTTACTATTGTTTTGTAATGAATTTTCACTTCAATATAGGAACCCAATTCCTTGTGTAACCATTTTTATTTTCTTTTCTCCCTCCCCTAGTGCTGACTTAAAGCTCTTGGAAGAAGCCACAATCTCGGTCTGCAAGTCTTTAGGTGAGAAATTGTGACATCTTTTTTCCATGTGCTTTATCAGAAAAATTAAGAAACAGCATTCATGTGCACATCCATGACTTCAGTATACTTAACTCTACTTGTATGTGTTCCACTAGTAAGATTAAAGTAGTGTAAAGAGTGTGTTTACATATATCCCAAACTTTTAGAAACTTCCATTGTTAACTGTTTTGTAGAACTTTAAATGACTGAAAGATTTAAAATGAATAACTCCATCCTTACTACCTTGTTCTCCCTCTGCCCTCTAAGCTGATCAGCAGGGGGAAAGAGAACCAAAGGAGGGGATAATATAAATGAGATCAATGACGTTTCAAGAAAGTAAAAAGTGGTTGTGAAAACCTGCCCAGTTTTCTGACAGGAGGCTGTTATGCAGTAGACAAGTCTTGGAAAGGAAGCAGTACGAGGTCCACATTTGCAATATTTTAAATCTAGGATGAAAAGTATGCTTAGAGAACAATTATGGAGTAGTAAAGCGTGGCCTGGAGAATTTGAAAAGAACAACTACAGCTGTACAGAAAAACAGACATACTGTGCTATATGTAGAAATATTTAAGACATTGAAATTTGGTTTCATTCTATATATTGTTTGAACTAAATAGTGTCAACTTACACATGCTATATAGTAATATCTTATTTTTCCTCATCTAGTTGAGAAGAATCCTCGAACAGGAAACCTTGGGTCATTGATTAAAGTCTTTCTTTCTAGAACCAAAGAGTTAAAAATTTCAGCGGAATGTCAGAAGTAAGTACCCAGAAAAAAGCTGTGTGTGCCATTTCACTTTTTAAATGTTCCTTTTGCTGCTAGCTCTTCAGTTTTTTACTTTGCTAGTTAACATAATCACAGAACAGAGCTTAGAATTCTCTTAAATCATTGTTTCAAACAGAACAAGTATCTAGTACTTTTCCAAACACAGACAATTACATGTAATAAGTAGTAGATTACTGGGGAAAAAGACATGTTTGTGTTCATCCTGTGTGTTACATAAACACATTTGTGTACAAATGGTGTAGATCCTGGTTACTACTGGTTTAGAGCTGTTTAAAAATCACCTGGCCTTTTTAACTAAATCTTAATGTATGAACTAGTATTTTACCTTGAAAATATTTTAAATTGAATTTGAGCACAAACTTCTATATAAAGATAACTGCTTTCAAATCATATCATGCAACTGCCATTAGTTTTGCTTGCCCCTTTTCAGCAACAGGAAGAACTTGAAGAAGCTATGTGTGCAGCACTGCATAGTTTTCCAAGGGAACTTTATGTAATTGTTCCCCCACACCCATTGACAGATGTCCAACTCTCTTCAGATCCAGGGCTTCAAAAGGAAGACTTTATTTTTAATGCCCCCTTGCTCCTAGGACTGCCCTCAACCTTTTTGCTTCTATCTGGAGAAAGAAGTTATTCCTGCCTGGATAGCTCCTGTTGCTTTAATCCAAACATACCTTGAAAATATAGCTTCAATGAAGAGCTTGACTGTGTGCTGTTGTATGGGCTTCCCAGCAGTTGCTTACTGGGATTCAAGAAAACGTAATGAAGCTATATTCCCCTTGCATTCAGAAAGCTTGGACAATATCTGTGTGTTGCATAGAAAAATCTTGCTATATTGTGCTCCTGAAGTCCATAAATGCCTACAGTCATTTGAAGGCTGTTTCACTGGGAAAAGTGCTAAGGTTCAGGGAGCCAAAATAGCTTTCATATCGAAGCTGTTGGAAATGTTCAAATGTCTGGGTGGCCTGAGTCCATAGTATCTAGAAACCTTTAGAATTATGCTGAGCTGTCTGGTGAGCTCTTTGAGGAGTGGTACTTCTGGCAACTGTGGTGTTTTAACAAAACAAACGTAGTTAGGAATAAAATTGTATTCTCTTGGAGGAAAAAAAAAAATTTCTTTTAAATACATTTCCAGTTTGTTTGATGCAGCATCAACTGAAGATTCCCTGCTTGAGCGCTTTGCTTTTCCTTGCTTCAGCTGAAGGAACCCCTGTGTCTACTCTGGCATATATTATCTTGTGCTTTTTGATGCATGCTCACAGATGAAGCATTACTGATTGTTGTTTGTTTCTTCTTCTTTTCTAGTCACCTCTTTATTTGGCAGGCTCACAATGCACTGTTTATTATTTGCTGTTTGCTGAAAGTCTTCATCAGTCAAATGTCAGAAGAGGAGCTGCAACTTCATTTTACTTATGAAGAGAAAGCATCAGGCTCATATGGTAGGTCTGCACTAGCGCTAGTGAAACAAATATCCCACAAGAAGCTGAAAAGTTCTGATGTTTGTAGACATTGCACTTAGGGATGTGGTTTAGTGGTGAACTTGGTAGTGTTGGGCTTTGATGATCTTAAGGGTCTTTTCCAACCTAAATAATTCTGTGATTCTATGTTTTATTTAGACTAAGAATCCCAAACTTTGCTTTAAAACTAGAAATGGAGTACCAATGAGGTTACATACAACATGGTTACTATTTGGGACAACCTATGAGATTGAAAGTACGTAGTCAATAGTAAAACTGACTCACTTCTTTTGAGGTGTGAAGTAATTTGGTGTAAACAGTCTTCCTTTGTATCATGCATATGAAAGACAGCACCTTCAAAATGTGATGAGAGCTTTTACTAACATATTGACTGTTGTTATCTGCCAGAATTAAACATTTATTAACAAGCTGTTGGCATGTTATGGGTTCTTACAGCAAAACAGACCTCTTCTAGAGCAGGGTTTAAGTTGTTTGGTTTATTTTTTCTTTAAAGTTTTTTTTATATGTAACATGGTCATTTATTTACAAACTTAATCTGGCATTTTTTGAAACAGCTGTTCAGAAGTGATGTTGTAGACCTACCTTAGTTTTAGTCATTTTCCTGTAGTTTGAAAGGTGGTAATGGTCTTCAGAAGAACAGAATAGAATTGGGGTGTAGCTGACCACATACTGCTGCAGCAATGGTAGTGTTGCAATTATTTAGTGTTTCTTTACACATATGTTTCATAAACCAGCAGCAGCCAGGGAGTGGAATTAATGCAATTTTTGGGAATCTAGTCAGGGAAGATAACAGAACTATGGTTAGAACCGATCCATTGAAAAAGCAACTGCTGAAATTTAATTAGTGGGCAGTAGTCTATACAAGAGTACGGGAAAAGTCAAAGAATTTAGGCAGAATGTTTAAAAAAAAAGCAAGTGCATCTCTAGGAAATGGAGCAAGTATTCCACAAGATGAAAGATGGCAGGGAAGATACTTAAATAATCTGGCTGTTTTCTTTCTGCTATCCAGTCCTTTTGGGAAGTGAATGATGTGAATATGTTCAAAATCAGTCTGACTACAGCAAAAAGAAAGTCATAACCCTGTCTGCCACAAATCTGTATAGTGCCATATCAGGATGCTTTCACGAGAATACATGATGGATCATGCCGGCACAAGAGCCTTGATTTCCTTTGCTTTGTTGTAAAGATACTGTTGAGTTTGTAATTGCATGTTATTTATTGCGTAAAGCCAAAAATGGTCTGGCAAAAAGAACTAGTATCAGAATGCTAATACAACGCGAGCGAATTGTGGAGGAGGAACCAAATGCGATCTGAACATGGATTTTCCTCAACAGTCAATCCAGCAAGGACACGTGTGGAGAATGCCTAATAGCTGCTTGCTCATTGAATAGTGAAAACTGTTCATTAAAATCTGTTTAACTCCTTGGCGCCTGCTGTTGGTGCGAGGAAATCAGACTTCTGGTGCCAAAAGATTAAGTGCTACATGTTGAAATGGTTTAATGTATTTAAACTGTGATGAGTAATCTCCAAGAATGAAGTCAGCTAACCGATGCATTAGAAAGTAACACCTGCTTGTAATAAGCTATCATTGCAGACTGCCTATGGGTTTATACTTGATTTAAAAAAATTGCCCACCTCTTGCTTCAGTGGTAGAGGTTAGCACAGTAAAACAGATAGAAAAGCTGAGATGCTTTGTTAGCTTGAACCCCTGTGATCTTTATTCCTTATGCTGGGAGTTCCTCGCAGCATGGTATGAAAAGTGATTCTTGTCACTGGGGTAGATCCATGTTTATACCATGTCTAGTAGCACTCAACTGTAATTCACAGTGACATTTATTAGCGGTAATTTTGTGCATATTGATGGCAAATGTACTTAGCAATTATCTTTGAGCAGATTGTTCACTGGATGTTCTTGATTAGGAAGGTAATTGTGTGTGGTCTGCTGGTGAGAGCAGGGGATGGAGGCAGGAAACGAGCTCCTCCTTGGCTCTGCCACGGCTTGAGTCCGCTGCCCCTTTTGACTTGAGTTTCCAGTTGGAGATGGTTCTTGTGACCTTCAAGGTGCTGAGGTTCAGAATGTGCTGTGTTTACATAGCCATCATGTTTTTGGTTCCAAATCTTCACACAGGTTTTTTAAAATATACAGAGTGTGGTAATAAAGTGAATGCCTTCCTATAGCTCTTATACCTAAGTATCAGAAAAGTGAAGGCTCATTAACAGAGTATAATAAAATGCTGTTGTGTTAGGGCCTGTTAAAGTGAGCAGAAAAAGATTAAATGTTTTTGTTTGTATTTTCATAATTAAGTCAAATATAGCTTTCTTGAATTTTTAGTCTATGGAAACTAGAGCACGCCTTGTTATTGTGAAGTTTACACAGATTTATTAGTACTTTTACTGAAGTTGTACATACTGAATACTGTCTTTGGTAGTCATCCTTTTTAAAAATTAAAGTTCTTATTTGTCTTTGCTGTCTTTTCATTTTCCAGAGCTTGATATTATTTTGCTATTTTTAATTGCAAGCGTGATAAAACAAACCTTATACAATACATGATCATATTAATTATATAATGCAAAAAAAAATGCATATAGATAAAGGCCTTAATATGATGTCTGAATTTTGAAGTATTGTTTCCTTATTTTCACAATATATAGCTGGTGAGTAGTTACTGTAAAGAACAGTACAACCAACAACACAAACCACCGCTCTCTCGTATGATCTGTTTATGTACGCCTTGTTCAATCTAAAAGGTAACTGTTCTTTTCAGGATCATCTTGAAACTCCTTTGGACATCTCTGTGTGGTGGTGTTTGTTTCCCAGCGTAACTTTTTTTTCCTTCTGGTCAGACAATATATTCTTGTACCACGTTCTCTGAGTTTAAATACAGCACCTGGGAACTCGGAGCGCGTAACTGCAGTGTCAGCACATCAGGCTGCTCATGCTGCAGTTGGTCAGTGCGATGTTCAGTGTGTCAGGCAGAGATGTATAGTATGATAGTAATGAGGTATGGAAGATATCCCCGTCACTGGCTACTCAGCAACTTGTCTTGTATTTTGACGGATTATATATGACGCAGCCACTGTTATTTGGTTAGCATTTTTTATTGCTGTCTTATTTGGAAGAATTCTCCTCCCAGGTTTTGCAATTCATATGCTTTCCCTTTTTCTGACTGTCCAATTTGTGCTTTTCTCTGTTAGACTGTTTTAAACCCAGAAGAAAACTGTGCAATTGTGGTTTGTGTCATAAAATGTGATTGTTGAGGTTTTTTGTTTTGCAAAACGTTGGAGTGCATGGATATATCATAGCCTACCATTAAAAAGTTGTAATGAACAAATTGCATAGGCTCGAGTCCCTGCTAACAGCACTGTTTATGGGCTTCCTTCAAAAGTTGTCAGACATTAGTAGAGGTTTGTTCCTTTTGGCACTTTTCAGGTGGTTCTTTAGCCCAGGAAGTGCAAATAAGAGGACATAGAGGAGGGAATAAATAACAGTATGTTTACTGCAGCCCTTAAATAAATTCATGAGTGTTCAGTTATCATATAAAGGAAATGACGGTTGGCAATTGCTTTATGTACTCATTGTTAACACTCTTAAGGGAAAGTTGGAGCTTTTGAGAGTCCTCACAGCAGAAGGTCAAACCACAAAACCCAAAGAAGCTTTAAGTCTGCTGGTTGAATTGAATGGATGAGGCTTTAGGTACTGTTTTCAAGCAATAAATTATTTTCTGACTGGTGTCCAGGTTTCTCTCCTATATATAGGATCAATAGGATAGAAAAACAAGTAGCATCTAAGGTGAAGCTACACTTTGCTGTGCCTGAATATCATATTGCCATTAGGCACATCCAGCTGCTAAAGCAGCTCGGATCAGGTGGTGACAACATAGTGGTTAGGTTCTTGAGAAGAAAGACTGTTTTACAGTCTATGTTGGACCCTGTATTATGGCTGAGGATGGAGCTGGGCTGGTCTTACTAGAAATGGATTTTCCTAGCATGTATACTTTTCTTTGGCTAAGCCATTTGGCTTGTATAGTGTCTGCTAATCCAGTCTGTAATGTGTGTAGCACAGAAAAAGTTATTAAAAAATATTGAATTATTATCTACATAAAAAAAAACCCCTAAACCACCAAAACAACCCCTAAACCAAGCACTCTAAAAAGCCAAAAAACCCACAATGCAAGTAACCCACATGTTTGAGGACTTTGATACGGCTGATGAAAAACGATGCCTCAGCATAAGTGGACGTTTTACAACCTGTGTGGGTTTGCAGTGACTTCTGCACTGCAGTAGAGTTTAGGAGATGCCCCTATGATTCCTCTCTCTGCAAGCCTGCTCTAATCTTATCTGGACAGATTTACCCTTTACTTATTTTCCCCAAGGCTTTACATGTGTCTTTGATCCAAGTATGTGATCTATTAATGTGACTGAGTATTGTGTGTACTGTCTTTATCCTGCTATTGAAAAAGAGATTGTTTATGAAAACACATAGTGTTCTGTGTTTATAGCTCACTCTCACGTTATAGATTTGGCATGCATCCGCCTCATTGTCTTGGCAAGACAAGAATTAAACAAGAATGCATGTGGCCCAATGGGGAAAAGGATACATTAATTATTGTAGCTGAATGACATTGATTACAGCAATTAAGTTGTGTTTTTATTTTTGTAAAAAGAAAAAAAGTTTGAGAATAGAGCAGGAAAGACTAACATCTTTCCTTCTATGTCCTAACCCACCATTTTCTTGCTTTATTTTGAATATAGTGTGAGGGGAAAGCTCTCTTTCATACTCAAATAACATTACTCTCTCTTCAAATGAGTTGTGTATATAGCATGGTGGTGGAAGAAATGATAAAAGTCTTACTCTCTAAGTATTTTCTAGATCCAGGAAAAAACCTTAGGAAAATGCCACATTCAAGTTACTTTATAAGGTATTACCTGGTCTTCATTATTGGCAGTGGTTTCTGTCTCGGGTTAAATACACCTAGCAGTTCTTGGTTTTTACTCACAGGAGCTACATTGTGTTACTCATGGGGGATTCTATATAAAGGAAACTACGTTTCCGCGATAAAAAACTGATTTCCTTTAGAACGTGCAGTTCACTAGGTGACAATTTTTAATGTGTTTTTAATAAACCAATTGTGGAAAGAAATAATTTTGCTTTATTGTGAATATTTCCTCTGGTCTGCTTCTTAAAATTGAGTTCTGGATTTAAGTACTGGGTTAAACAGAGTAACACCACCATAACCTGGCTGTAATGTGTTTATTACAAGATGTATTTATTTGAAAATACAAAATAAAGAAGCATTTGAGTAATCATAGGCTGTAATGCCTATCAGATAATGTAGAGGGAAAAACTATGCCTGCTCTTAGGCCGTTCAGCACTGTAAAACCCTACACTTCTTTGTGTTGTTGGTTTCTCTTTATAATTTTATTTTGAAAGCAGGAAAAAATCCTAATGAGCCAAGAGATTTATCATCTCTCTCTTTTTTTTTTTTTTTTAAGTTTTATGTGACAACTTCAAATGGTTTAATGAGCTTTTTCCTCAGTAAGTCTTGCAAGTCTTTTGTTATGGTTACTTTTAAAAATTGCAATGCTAATGTAAAATACCACAAATTTTATTGCTTAGAATAGTTATATTTTTTAAAAAAATAATTTTAATCATCCTATGGATTTTGTCACATTGGGTATGAGTAGAGAATAATTTCTGCTCCCTTAAAATGCACTTTAGAATTTCACGACTCCTTGTCATTGAAATATGTAAAACCTCTTCAATAAATAAATGGGTATGGATGAAAAAATAGTGTGTGGATTTAATTGCTTGGGAGTAGCAGTGATGTGTACTGTAGGCTGCGTTCATTTGACAGATCACAATTTAGAATATTGTTCAGTTTGTGTTAGACAAACAATACTGTGTTTTCTATCTGTCTCTGCTTATTCTTCACTTGAGATTAAAAAAAGAGGTGGGGAAATAGGCAGAGTGCAGGGAATTCTGAGAGGAGACTTGAACTGTGGACCAGTGAGAAGTTACTAGTGATCGGTTCAACTGTTAGTAGTAATACCATTTAATATGAACTTCAGTAAGTAGCAGAGTAAGGCTTGATGTGCTTAATATTAGCATACTTACTATAACACCAACCTCTCATTTAATTTATCCAACTGTTACTTGTATTTATATATAAAGGCTTAGTATCACCATCTTCTCTGGTGACAGATTCTCAAGTGCTTTGTATTCAGGATAGAATGCCATCTTCTTAAACAGGTAGAATTTCTCTTCTAGTGTTTGTTCCTTAATTAAAATATTGATCATATGGATCTATGTGATAAATCTTTGCTTTCTCTTGGTATTTGAAAATCCAGAAAACCTTTGTATGCTTCTTTTCAGGAACAGAGTGTGAAGACCTCATAGAAGAGTTGCTGTGTTGCCTCATCCAGCTCATTGTTGAAATTCCCCTGTTGTAAGTTAGCTTTATTCTTTTTTTTTTCAAGCCTCCTTGTATAAACCGAGCATTGAAGAGAATATGAAATTTAGAGTGATGGGATTATAATGTATTTGTATTTGAATGCTCCATGTGATGATGCAGTACTGACAATGATAACCTACTGCCAGTCGCAGCCCTGAATATACTCTTGGAAGAAGTACATGATCAGCATCTCACACCCAGTTCAAACCATCGACAGAAGTTAGCCTGTTTTATTTTCTAGGAGCTTTGACATTTGTTTCCTGTAGCTTTTGGCTAGAAATGGTTGTGGGGAAGTGTACAGGGAAAGGACTTTGGAGGCATCACTTCATCTCTGGGGGATGCAGCAAGGTGCGAACAAAAGTTCCTCTTCTGCAGTTGTGTGGGGTTTTGAACTGCATGTGTGTGAAGTCATGATTTAATACTAATTTCTGAAATACCAGTGAATTGACATCTGAAGAAGGGAGAAGAGAGATGACTAAGTGGAGTGTTTCTGTAGATCTCCAGCTTTGTTTCTGTGGCTTTTTTATGCATCTGCTGTATCTGAGATGCATTCACTCCATATCCCATTGGATACTTCACTATTACAGGAAGGAGAACATACTTTGTTCTTTGGAAATTAAAATGTCTTTCCACACCTGTGATAAGTTTTAACTTCTTTTTTCCCCAGATAAACTTTACCAAAGATACTATTAGCAGTATCTTTTGTGTTAAATTGCATTGTAGTCTGTGCCTAAAATGTAGTGCCCCAATTAAAGCATTGCAGCTCTGAAAGAGTTTCAGATTATCCATTCTAGTGTAGTTTATAGCTCTGCTGGTGATTCAGTTTTTGTACTTCGGATTGTTCTTTTGGTTGGAAAGTTGACAAAGATGCAATAGTTTTTGAAACATTGCTCTCATTAAATACAACTCTGTCAACATTACATGAGGGTTTGGGTAGGTAGTTTGTAATGAATTAGATTTAGAGTGTCATCCTGCAAAGCTTGTCAGGATTTCCTGGAGCAGATCCATTTTTTGCTTGGAACAGATTAGAGGAAGTACAAAGGGGTGAAAGGACTGCGTTATATCGGCAAGTCCATAAATCCTGCAGGGTTTTATTTTTCTTTCTTGGAAATCCCAAGGTGTGTGTGGAGTCCAATATGATTTATTTTGTCTTTCTGGCAGAAAAAGTTTTACAAACGTGATTGTTCTTAACCCTTTTCAACAACTGAGCCTGTCAGCATCTCTATTTCTATGTGAATGTGGTTGCTGGGAATGGAAGTAGCTATTGAAAGCTCTTAGTTTACTATATAATATAGTGATAATAATAATGGCTTATAAAAAAAAAGTTATAAAGCTTGTCTATAATCTTTAACGTTCAGCTATATAAAACAAATACTTTTCATAACAGATAGATGTGGAAGGTTTTTGGGGTTTTTTTTGGTAAAATAAATTTTCTTAGCTATTTTTTTCCTGAAACAGCATGCTACTGAATTCTTAGTAAGATACTAACACTGACAGAAGTGTATATTATTGTCTTGTTTACCACTATAATATATTTAACAATGTGATAATGCCTTAACTAATGATTCTATCCCCATATAGGGGAAGTAGGGTAGGGAAAAGGAGATACGGAAGAGCTTGCTTTCTTTAATACACAATCTGACCCTGTTTTTCATAAAGATGTTACAAGGCTGAGACATTTTTGCTTAACGTAATATTTTTTTTCAGGAGAATGATCGATATTATTTTAGTAGTGAGTTTACTTTTTACTTCAGATTTACACTATAAATTCTTTC